GTGCCATATTACACCGATGGCTCCAGAGACCCAGTGGCAGGCCGCACAGCTGCTGGGATGTTCAACAGCAATCTGACAGCAGGTTGGCGCCTCCCAGACCATTGCACCATCCTCCAGGCTGAACTCTTTGCCATCCAACAAGCTCTGCAGCATGCTCTTGCAGACCATCAGCATCCCCCAATCATCCACGTTGATTCCAAGGCAGCGATCCAAGCGCTTATGCACAGAGAGCCAAAGGACAACATACACTTAATCACATCCATCCGGGGTGACCTGCAGACTCTCATGACCCAGGGTCGCAGGGCTACCATCAACTGGATTCCGAGCCATGTGGGTATCCCTGGCAATGATGCTGCAGATGAGGCTGCTAGGACTGCAACCCTCGAGGCACAGCCACGTGCTGCGATCTCCATCAGCCTCAGCCAGATTGCGCTGTGGGCTGCCGGTGCAGCCAGGCGCCCATTCCCTGACCCTGGGGATTCACAGAGCCTCTGTTGGTATGTCAGGGCGACCCACAGGGTGCCCCCTCCAAGTATTCGGATACAGTCCAGGGAACTGAGGGTGCATATCCACCGCCTACGCTTAGGGTATCCCACCACTGCGCGGATTGTTGAACGGGCACGAGAGGAGCTCTGTGCCCATTGTGACCGAATGGTTCCGCAGCCCTTGGTGCACTACCTGTTAGACTGCCCGGCTACGATGCCCCTTCGCCGTAGACACTTCCCAATGACCCCGGTAGGGCAGGCCCGAGAGGATGAGGCAGCACATCTTGTGTACTTAGCTGTCAGTGACTTGGAAACCTTACTTCCAGTCCTTGCACGTCATCCGCCCCCCGCTGAAGTTGCTCCGAGGGCCTGCTTTGGGCCTCCATTGCACTGCACACCAGCCACTGTTAGTGCACACTAACGTTTGGTACGTCATCTGGCTATAGGGTTGGTGAGGTACCCCCTTCCCTTCCTGCTGAAGACCTGCCACGCAGGTGCAAGTAACGATAAACGTCACTTCCCTACCCGGGGAGCCAATGCCGGGTCACCAAAATGGAAGAGACCCGGGCCGGGCTACCATACCGGCGAATCAAATAGAATAGAATAGAATAGAATAGTTGCTTCCCAGGGATCGACACCATGCCCAGCCCTTCTAAGGCAGGGTAGGTGCCTGAGCCGCAGCTTGCAGCTCACAAGACTGCCATTTCCCATTAGACCCTTGGGGCGGGGATGGCAGATCAGAGAGGCCTAGTTTCTCCCTACGAGCCCCGTGAGGGTGGGGAATGTGGCTAGGCCTGAGGACATTTGGTCCCAACGATGAGCAAGTACCTGTACCTCCTCCCATGCAGAAATTAGTCTGATACTCCCGAGACAGGGAGCCAAGGCCGGGCCACCATCTGGAAAAGGCCCGGGCCGGGAGAATACCGGCGAATCAAGAAGAAGAATGCTTCCCAGCAGCTACACCCCTGAATTTAAATACGTATATTATATATATATATATATAATATATATATATATATAATATATATATATATATTTATATATATTTTAAGTAGTGTTTGGACTTTACTGCAGCTACCATTACTGTTGTCTATAAGTTGTTCTGTGGCCTAGCGCCGTGTCAGCCTATCGTCCCGGAAAATCTTTGAACTAAGGCCAAGGTTCAGGACCATAGCAAATTCTTATGTAATACAGAGATTAATCCACATATTGCAAAGTGTTTATGCATCTTTTTATTAGAGAACTCTTCTTCGTCGGAATTATTCCTGCACAGGGCTGCTTGTGGCAGAGTTGAATGCCTGTACAGAGAATGTTACTTCTACTTGTAATGCTAATTTTACTGAAGAGTTTTGAAGAGCTTTGTGTTATCGAATTACTTAGTACTTTAAATGGTTCATCATACTCTAGTATCAAATTTTAGAATCTTTACAATACGTCATGCATTTCCTGTTTGTTTTCATTTTCTTATGAAGAACAAGTTTTGTGTCTTTCACTAGATATTTTGTTACAAAATAGAGTTAATAAAAGGCTTTTGTTTGTCTTCGCACTCTCTTCAGCTCATCTATGGGAACACATCTGAACAACACTTATAATGTGATGTCTGACAAGTCAGTTAGTGTGTCAGTAGTGTGTCTGGTATTTTATTTTCAATGGTGTTTGCTGTTTGCATCTCTCCCGCAGCGAGCGGCTTTTCTCTTCATTTTCATTCTTATTTGATGGTATAATAGCAAATATACTTTTCGCTTGAAGATAAAACAAAGAACTGAAACAATACACAAATAACCCTCAAACAGAAGAATGAAACTTTTGACGGCATACCGGCCCGACTTGGGCCATTTGTCACACAGGATAACGTCCGCAAAAGTTTCATTCTCCTGTGTCCGGGTTATATGTGAAATGCTTTAATCTTTAATCTTGTTCAGATTTGAGTGTCACCGAGCACTGTACCAGTCTACGATTCAGGTCCTTTTAAATGCTTCTACTAAGGGTTAAAAATGTTGGTGGTGCTTCCTTTGTTATTTCTGTATCCAGAATTTTTTTTATAAAATTAAAAAAAAACAAGTATAAAATCACTGAACTAGATGTATTTCGATCAGAGAAAGATATCCATGTATTGCATAACCCCAGCCCACTTTACCTTGTAGTGTCTAATGCTGTTAAAATTTGAGTTTTTAATGTGAAGCGAATCAGAAGAGCTATTTACAAGTTATTGTGGAAACTAATACACTAGTTTCTTCAGAGAAAATGGCAAATTAGGACAAACACAGTACAAATATAATCAGTTTCTACTCAGAAACACAAATTTTGAAGCAAAACTGAACAGTTATTGTCTTAACGTCTCAGAGTGACCAATATCCTAAAACACATCAGCTTATTAAGTTTTCTGCCGCTCAAAGATTCCATTATTTACTTTTCGTCATAGAAGAGGTCAAGTCAGTCAGATGAAACTCACAGAAATTAAAGCATTAAAACTAGTACCATATTTTCCAGCATATAAGGCGCACGAGCATATAAAACATATCAGACGGTGTTTGCAAACAGTTGTAACGTAATGTTACTAAACAACGTTTACTAACATTACATTACGTTACTTTGGGTTACGCTTTACGCTTTAGCGTAACCCAAAGCCTACCCTTGACCCTGACCTTCAGCATATAAGGCGCAGGGCGATTTTCCAAGACTTTCTATGGGGGAAAAAACAGGCCTTATATGCCGAAAAATGCGGTATATCAATTTTTCCCACTTTTCCCAATAAAAATGCAAATTTGGACCTGGAAAGTCCAAAATCAATCCAAACTTTCCGTCGTGAATAGAGATTGGCCAGCATTTAAAGTTTAAGAAAATAGGTAAATTTTACTTAAGCTCTGGATACATAACACACCAATTTCATAGCAAAGTTGATTAATTAGACACATGCGCAACACTTCATTGTGCATATGATGTATTCTTGTCAAGATTGCTGGACTGATTACATCTACTCCTGGCTAAGGGACTGATTACCTCAAACTCCTTCAGATCTTCACCATTCTTCTTCGTATTGGACTGATGAACACACTGTGTGGCGAAACGTTTCCTCAGTAAATATACCTAAGTGTTACACATGTACACAAATAACCCACACATAGGAGAGAGGGGCTTACGGTGAGTTTTCGGTTCGACTTGGACCGAAACGTTGTCTTCGTCAATGGTCCAAGTCGGACCGAAATGTTGTTTTTCTCTTTCCTGTGTGTGGGATATTTGTGTATTGTTCCAGTCACGGTATTGTGCCTTTTTGTTCTTTGTTGCTCATGTGTCTAATTTATCAACTTGTCGGTTCTGTGAAGTTATTTATCTACATTCTTAGCAACTGTGGCATGCCAAGAAAACATAACCTTTATTCGGCGCATGTACACACCCTCATTGAAAGGCTATCTCCCCCACCAAACCAGTACTAAGGGTTGAATGATGGGGCCGCATCGTCTGATCAATACCAAGGTTCAGCCAATGAGTAGGTGGGTCTGGCAATTGAAGGTGTTGTGGTCACCACCCTCCTGTCCACCATTGTCATTTCCATTCTAGAGCTGGTTGAGCACGGTTGTCCATTCTGTCTCCAGGCTGTGTCTTTGCCTTTGACTAAACCGTGTTGAACACATACATTTTTAATTGTATATAGTGTACATAATTGTAAATAATTACTATTGCTCTTGGTGAAGGAAAATATATTTCAAAGTCATTCAGCTGTATTTGTTCTACTCCTTGCTCCCCTTTACACCCAGGATAACAGTCCTTATTGCCCTTGTGTTGAAGGAACGCTGATTTTATTGACACATAACATCAGCGTGGATTTAAACTGTGTGTGCAATGTAAATTTCTACATTAACGATTAGAAATCTCTCATAAAATGTAAAAAAAAAAAAATCTTCTTTACTTCATTGTGATCAAATTAATCCTGTATATTTCTGGCTCTTTTATAGTAACATGGCATGACTTTTATCATTTACTTACATTCTACATCTAAATTATTATTAATAAATCATTTATGAATTATTTTTGTGTGCTAGATAGCAGCCAGACCAACTTAAAGTCTAACATGAATATTCTAAGTTACTAAAGTTTCTCTCGCCCCATCCAGATATCTATTTCAACATCACACTGAGGAGAAAGACTCTTTTCTACACTGTAAACCTGATTATCCCGTGTGTGAGCCTAGAGTACTTGTCGGTGCTGGTGTTTTACCTGCCAGCCTACTCCGGGGAGAAGGTAGCACTCTGTATCAGCATCCTCCTCTCCCAGACCATGTTCTTCCTGCTCATCTCAGAGATCATGCCCTCCACCTCGCTGGCCATGCCGCTTCTCGGCAAGTACCTGCTCTTCACTATGCTGCTAGTAGGCCTCAGCGTCATAGTTACAATCATCGTTCTCAACATTCACTACCGCAAGCCCTCCACCCACCGTCTCGCACGATGGGTCAGAAAGGTTAGTTTAGATGAGAGGGTGTATAACCCATTCTGATTTTGAAGACTGAGACACTTACGCAACATATGGGAATCTTTACTGAAGAAACGTTTCGCCACACTTTAGCTTCATCAGTCCAGTACAAAGCAGAAAGGTGTAAGGAGAAGAGGAGTTTGAGGTAATCAGTCCCTCAGCCTGGAGTCGGTGTGTTCAGTCCACCAGTATTGCAGAAAGTACAGCATATAGCCGTAGAAGTGGCTTTTATACTGTAGGCAGGTGAGTGGAAGCAGGAGGAGGCGGGATCACAGTGAAACCATCCACTAGTCGAAGTAGGTCTTCGTCTAAAGGTTGGACAAGTATTGAAAAATTCCTTTTATCAAGATCCCATGATGTTGCAGTGTCTGACAGATGTAATAAATGGTTTTCAAAGCCGTCGGTTTTCAAAACCATTTATCACATTCTAATTTTGTACTTTGTTACAAAGTTGCCCGATTTCCTTTTTCTTACTACAATTTTTCACTTTCATTTTGCTGGCAACTCGAGATGGCTTCATTAAATTGGCATCAGAATTTCAGTGTTTCTGCAGAGCCACTAAGACCAGATTCTTGGAACAATTGCCATAGTTACGTGCCCTATGACCGATGTTGTTGAACCCATCCCCAGCATCCTGGAATGGCTGGAGTAACTTTCAATGCGATCACTGTAGCATAGAATTAAACGTTCTAAAAATGTGCCTCCCAATTCGACGACGGCGGAGAGTAAAATTTAAGTGTGTAGATATAAACATTTGTTGTGTAAAATCTGTTTGCCACTTCTGAATGTTTTCAGTATTTCATGGCTGATGCGTCTTACTGCAAGAATACAACACATTAATATTTGTTTGCTTACATGTAGAGTTTGAATTTTGTAAAGTAGAAAATTTGGCATCGCTAAAATCCGTGCCAAAACTGGGGAATAACTCATCTGATAGGCTTCAAACTTTTATTAGTGACGGCCTTTATTAAAACAGTGGCTTTCAAACATTTATCAAACTGCGTCACTTTGGTAAATGACTCTAAACTACTTGTTTCGTGGTTTCATTGCTATAAAGACTGCTCATAGAGGCGGGTATTCAAACAGGAGGAGGCTGAAATTAATCCTTGAGCATACTACTGCCACGAGTGTTATCGCAACATGAAACAAGCCTAGTTTACTAGGCTCATGTTGTTTGTAGGATTGGTGGCTGAGTGGATAAGGTGTGGCCTCTTGAGGCGTGACAATGTATTGTGGGGTCGAATCCTGGCCTGCCCCAGTTTGGTAAATGATTCAAAACCACTTTTTTTGTGGTTTTAGTTTATATTCTATATATATATATATATATTTATATATATATATATATATATACATATATATATATTTATATATATATATATATATATATATTATATATATATATATATATATATATACTATATATATATATATACTATATATATATATATATATATTATATATATAATATATATTATATATATATATATATATATATTATATATATATATATATATATATATATATATATATATATTATATATATATATATATATATATATATATATATATATATATTATATATATATATATATATATATATATATATATATATATAATATGTATATATAATATATATATATATATATATATATTTATATATATATACATATATATATAATTATATATATATATATATATATATATATATATATATATTATATATATATATACTATATATAATTATAAAATTTATATATATATTAAATATATATATTTATTATATATATTTAAGTAATAGCACTAAAACCACAAAAAGTGGTTTTGAATCATTACCAAATGGCAGGCCAGTATTCGACCCCACTATACATTGTCACTCAAGAGGGTATATATATATATATATATATAAATATATATATATATATATATATATATATTATATATATATATATATATATATATATATATATATATATATATATATATAATATATATATATATATATATATATATATATACAGAGTATTTAAAGTACAGTTTTACTAAATAAGTTGAAGGAACAACTGTTCATGATATAATAAGGAGGTAATGGTTAAGTAACAAGAGAAGTTAGGTGTCATGTGAAACAGTGAAGTATAAGTGCCAGTGTCTATTACTTGCTAATGGATTTTACCTAGTAATATTAGCTGCAATACTGAAGGCTCCCTGATGTTGTTAGGTGGTACTGGAAATATGTACATAAAGATTTTCTCTACACATTGCTTTTACATTATTTGTTGGCAACTTTTGGCATCTAACGCAACTGGTTATTTTAACTTAGAAACCTTTATGTTGATCAGTGAGGCAATTACATGATAGCAGATCAAGTAGTGCATTTTTGGATTGTTTCAGCTTTTTATCGACACACTGCCTCCGCTGCTGCTGATGCGGGTACCTAAAAAGGAGGAGACGAAAGCGGACACGCAGAACCTGCCAGGGGGACGACCAAGGGAAAACGGCAACGGGGCCAACCTGAGAGAGCGCTTCAGGGAGCGACAACAGCAGTTCCCAGGTGGGTGTAGGAAGTGAGGGAGCGGTGATGAGTTCCAAGTGATGGACCTAGTGTTAGACACGTGTTGTAGATAATGGGCTCCATTGAAATGCTGGATCCAGTGTTAGACGCGTTTTGAAGGTAATGGGTTCCAGTTAAGTGCTGGACCTAGTGTAATGGGGTCCTAGCTAGTGCTTACATAAAAACATAAAAATGGAGGAACACTGCGGCAAGTTTACTGGCCCATACAAGGCAAGTCCTTATTAAAACAACCCATTTATTTTCCACCCTCCTCAGAAAGCTACCCAAAAATTTGCTTCTGAACCTCAGGTACTTATCAAACACGTCCCTTCTCACTGATATATTTTTCCAGTCTCTTTTAAAGCTACGCAATGACATCTCTGAAAGCCATTACTGGACCTAGTGTTAGGCGGGTGTTGCAATAGTGATTTCTAATAGTGTTCAACGAGTAAGGATTCTAATCAGTGACTGGACTTTAAGACGAGTAATGAAAGCCGCTGGCTGATTTAAAAGACTGCTGATTCTGATGCTAGCTGAGCATTGTAATGATGTTGGTAGAATTACTGACAATAAGCTAGGTTTTAGGTAAAAGGACACAAGTGCAACTATTGTGACATTTATTGTGGCAACGTTTCGCTCTCCAGGACTTATGTGAACCCGTTACAAACAATACAGGTTCACGGTGCATATAGAACTGGTCTTGGCTAGATAAGATAAGATTTAGTACGGATTTTTAACCCCGGAGGGTTAGCCACCCAGGATAACCCAAGAAAGGCAGTGCGTCATCGAGGACTGTCTGTCTTATTTCAATTGGGGTCCTCAATCCTGTCTCCAATGATGCTAGCCCACACCAGTCTACTAACACCCAGGTACGTATTTACCGTTAGGTAAGCAGGACAACAGGTGTAAGGAAACACGTCGAAATGTTTCCTCCCCTCCGGGAATCGAACCCGGACTCTTCATGTGAGAAGCGAGAGCTTCGCCAACCAGGCCACGGGTCTTCTCCCTGTGGTGACCCGGCGGCAGCATCGCAAGGAATGTCAGAGTTGGTACAAGTGATATACCGTTGACAGCCCTATGGCGGGGGCAGCCCTGAAGGCACGGTGGGTCTTCTGCCTGTCAAATGGAGTACAGCTTACAGCCCAATGGCGGGGGCAGCTCCGTGACAAGGGCGCGGTGAGCCGCCTTCGTGTCAAGTGGAGTACCGCTTTCAGCTCATTGACGGGGGCTGCTCTATGACAAGGGCACGGTGATTCTTTCAAATCAGCTTGAGCCATTCCTGGCGCTCAGGCCGCAGCCCGAGTGCCAGAGCGACTCATGGAGATTCTCTGGAGGTGTGTTGAAACACCTACGTCTTCGAAGACGTAAATACCTGTAATTTCATTAATCGCAATTTCTAACACAATTAAACAAAATAAAATCAGCTTCATCACCTCTGACGATCTGCCTCTGACTCTCGCCTCGGCAGGTCATAGCAGCTCTCCATACTTGTTCATTCTCCCTACGATCCCCGTTGGGGAGGGGAACCTCTACCATCTCCACGATGTCTCATCGTGTGAGAATTAAGCCCAAGTCTGCTGTCGTCGACGACGCCACGAAGCTTGAGCTTGCAACCTCACTCAACACTTGTCTTCACGCCAAATTCTCCAAGATTACTTCACTGAAAGAAGCTTTCATCGCCACCTTTCTCGATGATGCTGAAGCTGACATTAGATGACCGCGGTTTTACCATCTCCACGTCACCATACATGCGTGCAAAACGCTCTGTGTTCATGAAACTCTTGACAGGCTAATCACGAACATGTCTATCGAGGAAATTACGTCATCACTTGAAGACCTCAACATTTGGGCCAAGATTGACTCTGTTGTAAAGATCCCCAACGCTTCCTCGATGCTGAAGGTCACGTTTCTGGACGTTACCATAACGACCAGAGCACTGTCTGATGGCCTGGCCATCTCTTATACCTCATCAACCCTCGACAGATTGAGCCTGAACGATTCACTTACATAACACCATGTTGGACATGCTACTCGTATAGTCACTCTACTGCCGACTGCCACGTGAAGAATAAGAAGATATGTTCCACCTGTGGGTCTGCAGATCACGACTTTCGCTCCTGCACTTCCACTGCTGCTCCCACCTGCATCAACTGTAAGAGTGATCACCATACTCTTGCAGCCAAATGTCCAGTGAGCAAGGATATCCTATCTAAGAAACTGAAAGAAGAAACTAATAAGTCTATAGGAAACTCTCCTACTTATGCTGCTATAGCTAAGCTTCAGACGACCACCACCAAGATTCTACAAGTTGTTAGGTAAGACACATATGCAACAATTAGGTATCTTTATTTCGAAACGTTTCGCCTACACAGTAGGCTTCTTCAGTACGAGTACAGAAAAGTTGATAGAAGCAGAAGATACTTGAAGACGATGTAATCAGTCCATCACCCTTAAAGTTTTGAGGTGGTCAGTCCCTCAGTCTGGAGAAGAGCATTGTTCCATAGTATGAAACAATATGGAGATGAAGTGACGGGATGGAGCCTTATATAGCGCCAAGAGGTGAGACGTAGGTCACTAGAAGAGGTAAGAACTCAGATGTTGGGAGGTCAGGTCCCTCTCAAATCCAGCCGTTCTCACTAGTAGAGGTTGTCGAAGTTGATTGTAGGTCTGTACCAAGATACCCTTGTGTTGCAGTGTCTGACAGATTGAACATTAAAATGGTATAAAATACCGACAGGTTGTTAGGTAAGACACATATGCAACAGTTAGGTATCTTTATTTCGAAACGTTTCGCCTACACAGTAGGCTTCTTCAGTCGAGTACAGAAAAGTTGATAGAAGCAGAAGATACTTGAAGACGATGTAACAATGCTCTTCTCCAGACTGAGGGACTGACCACCTCAAAACTTTAAGGGTGATGGACTGATTACATCGTCTTCAAGTATCTTCTGCTTCTATCAACTTTTCTGTACTCGACTGAAGAAGCCTACTGTGTAGGCGAAACGTTTCGAAATAAAGATACCTAACTGTTGCATATGTGTCTTACCTAACAACCTGTCGGTATTTTATACCATTTTAATGTTCAAGATTCTACAAGCCACTCAGCAACCTCCACCACTCACAGCCTCTCCTCTACCAGACGATATTTCCACAAAATTCTACTACTGCCTGATGTATGCACACATGCAATATGCAGCTAACCGGGGTTGTTTCAATACAACTATCAATGATATTATTGCCCTCAACAATCTACCAGTATTCAACTTCCCAGCTAGTCCTGCTTCAGCTGATGTTTTGAAGATTATCCCAAAAATTGTCAGCTTCGAGGCACCAGATGACCTGCAAGATTTGATTTCTGTAGAAGCCACCTGCTCTACTTCGCAATCCACCAATGAGAGACCATCTCCTCCTCCAGCCACCGCCACTGCCAAGAACCAATCAGAGCCTTCACTACCTCTCGTGTCTCCACCTTCCTCCACCAATGAGAAACCACCTCCAACACCAGCCACCATATCTGCCAAGACACGAGCAGCGTCCTCGTCTTCCACCGCCAACAAAACTGACCAATCAACTACTTCACTTGTCTCTCACTCTAAGGATAAACAACCCTATAATTCAATACGTGGAGTCTCTTTCTTCACTACTCCTGAGTATCCTAAAGAAATGGATGCACAGACATTGATCCCCCTCCTCCAGAGCGACGAAGTCAAGTACGTCTGCAGACCATCACGTTTTCTCTTTTTTAGAGAACTCATCAATCTCCTTAATGCTCCAGAGATCGACCCTGACCGCAAATTTAGAATCATGCACATGCCAATACCGAAGTTCCAGACTCTTTTGAATTGGACAGTAGCCTAACACACCTCAAGCCGACCACCACCAATACAACTCATCCTGCTTGCTGCCTCCTGACACTCCCATCTCCTGCCGCCGCCTTCGCCATCCTCTCCTGGTAAGCCAAGTACCGACATCATTCAAGGCTCTCCATCTACGCCTCCAGTACTTCTGTACCACATGTCCCAAAGTGGTTTTGCCACTTGCCTATTTTCCCCCTCTCCTCCTCCCTCCCATCCGTTTCCAGTATTTCCATCCTTGCTCGTCCTTCTTCCTTCCCATCTCACGACAGCTCTGGTCGTCTTCTTCGTTCGTTCGTTCATCACCTCTGACGTATTAGCAAAATTCTCCTGAAAGCAGTAAACACCGCCTTCACGTAGCTACTTCTAATGTTTGCGACGGCTTGACAAAGATCCTGGAGATGAAACGTTGCCAAAATAACATGTCACATTAGTTGCATTTGTGCCCTTTTACCTAGCTGAGCATTGCTGGTAGTGAGAGTTAAGAAAATGTTGGACGTGAGAAGTGTGAAGTTGTCGGAGAAATACCAAAGGGAAGTACTCACCAGAAACTGTGTTCTCTCAGTAGGGTGTGCTGAACACCCACATAGCCGCTACCATAAATGCGCAAATATGGAAGTGAGGCTCTTGCAAGATACGGCGGATCAGACACAAGGTGCTGGCTCACCCACCTAGGCACTTCTGACAGGGGTCTTAGTCGAGTTCACAGTAGGCACTCAGCTCAAACCCACCTGGAGGCATCAGTCTTTTGGAAGTCATCGTGGCCTGTCCTGACTCCGGTCTTCACCATGCGATGACCCGGCAGGGCTCTCGATGAAGAGCTTAGTCTTGTTTACTGTGGGCGTGCTGCACTCAACCATCTGATAAAGGCTGGTCTGGGAGAACCGTCAAGTGTGAGGTGCTCACCAAAAGGCTTCCAACGGAGATCTGTGATGGAAAATCGTCTACTCCATAATGGGCCTGCTGCGCCCACCTTCCTGTGGGCTTCAGACTCCTGAGGGAGGGAGAGTTTGTGATACAGAGATCTGATAGTGTAGGTGGGAGTGAAGGTTTGGCAGAGGGATGGGAAGAGTTGGTAGAAGATGCAGAAAGGATGTGAGAGTAAGAAGATATGGAGAGTAAAAAGAGGATGGTTGATAGAAATAAC